ACATATAAAAAAAAAATTTACAGCCATATATATATATATATATATATATACCCGGGGATAGAGGTCATAGTATCGCAAAGAACAGCTCCGTATATATATATATATATATATATATATCCGGGGATAGAGGTCATAGTATCGCAAAGAACAGCTCCGTTCCTTTATATATATATATACCCGGGGATAGAGGTCATAGTATCGAAAAGAACAGCTCCGTTTCTTTATATATATATATATATATACATACATACGTACATTTTGTTTTGTTTTGTTTATAGCTAAACTTCCCAGACATTCAAGTCCAGGATGTTACCTTGCACGCCAGGGTTGACAACGTAGTTCACACTTTCATGCGCGAGCAGGAGCTTGAGTTGAAGCACGGCATTAATCCAGGAAATGCTCGTTCTATTAAGGTAAGTAAACAACGAAAACGTAGCAATAACACTTTAGTATAACTCCGTCTTCCGAAAATCTTGCAAATACTGACAGTACAGATGGCTTTTTTTTATTATTATTATCTATGAAGAAATAAAATTATTCAATGGGAATCCATGTAAAGATTACTACTAATAAACAGTATTTCTTATCCTGACCTGACACACAACTAAATATTGTTGCTATAATTTCTCATCACAGGCTCGCTATTACCACCTCGACCACGAGCCTTTCAGCTATGCCGTTAACGTCCAGAACAACAGCGCCTCTGATAAGCATGCCACTGTCCGTATCTTCTTGGCACCTAAATACGATGAACTTGGCAACGAGATCAAGGCCGATGAGCTTCGTCGTACAGCTATTGAACTGGACAAGTTCAAGACAGATTGTAAGACAAATATATAATAGTAATTTAGAGGATGTTTGTTTGTTTTGATGATTACTTATCTTCATTCAGTTATCGGTATGACGTTTAAAACAACAATTTTCATCTAATTTATTTGTACTGACTTATTAAATTTCAATCATTAGATAAATTAAGAGAATTATTTTACAGTAATATATATATGAATAAGCTTAAACTGTGCTGTCGTTGTTCCTATGATGAATGTTTATCTTGTGTCATTCACTTAGCAACACCAAAGGTTCACAAAATAAAAATTCACGTTCATAAGTTTCTTTTACGGAACACATTTAATAGAAACAGCCATCGCGAGGAGAACTAATCCATTCGAAACTCTTTGTTTTCGCGGCAGTACACCCCGGTAAGAACACTGTGGTTCGTCATTCCCTGGACTCCAGCGTGACCCTCTCCCACCAACCTACGTTTGAGGATCTATTGCATGGAGTAGGACTGAATGAGCATAAGTCAGAGTACTGCAGCTGCGGATGGCCTAGCCATCTGCTTGTCCCCAAAGGCAACATAAAAGGAATGGAATATCATCTGTTCGTCATGTTAACAGACTGGGATAAGGATAAGGTATGTTGATTAAATAGTGGCTTGTCCTACGAATGTAGTTTTTAAAGACAGTTCTGTTTTTGACTCTCAGCAGTAATAAGCAAGATTAAAAATAACTTATTTTACCTGCTAGAGAAAGGATTGTTCAAGCTTATTTGAATGATTGTTGTTTACGCTAATAATCATTTCTTGTTTGAAATGACTGTTTACACTAATAACCATGTTTTGTTTGAAACAAGTTTTTGTTGAAGTTGTACATTTTTATTTTATATTATAATGCTTAAACAACCTTAAAATCAAAAATTTACTAAACTTGTATGTCTCATATACAACTAAAACAAATGTTGGCATTCAGCAACGTGTAACAGCTAAAACTAATATAAGAAAAAAATGTAGGCCTTTAGCAACGTGTAGGTATTACAAAGTCAAACCCATAATTTCTAAAGGATTAGAAAATAGTCAGAAAATAGGCGAAACGTTCGATATGTGGACAACATGAATAAATAGATTAATTGCGTACATGAATTATATGTGCTTCATTCGAATTCGCCTTCATTACGTCGTTTCGTAATAACATCTCAGATTACACGTGTACAAAAAACAATTTTTTTTTGTACTAGGTCGACGGTAGTGAATCAGTTGCTTGTGTAGACGCTGTCAGCTACTGTGGAGCCCGAGACCACAAATATCCTGACAAGAAACCCATGGGTTTCCCATTCGATAGACCTATCCATACAGAACACATCTCTGATTTCCTGACCAACAACATGTTTATCAAGGACATCAAAATAAAATTCCACGAATAGTCAGATGTTTAATACTTGTTACCGTGATCAGATGGCTGATTTTTGTGGTGGAAAAAAATATAATTGGAACAGTTTTTCGATAAATTGTTTTGGGGTAGCCTAACCCAGTATAAACAACGCACATACACATAAATTTATTTCTCAAATTATTTAACATGTAGTAAGTTAAAGTCTGTGGATTAAGAAATATTTAAAGAATGTTTTTGCTTAGCTGATGAACCTCTTGCGTGTATGTTACATTTCATTATTCTTAGGTCTGACTGCAGAATTTAAATAAATTGACCAACAACTAATAAGAAATCGTTGTGTTTGGCTGTTTTCTTATTTCAATCGTTCTATTACTATATCAATTCCAATAAACTTTATATACTTTACATTTCATAATCTATTGTAGAAATAATAACATATAATGTATTCCTCATATAAAGCCGAGCAACTTTTCTTAACAACTTACAACCTTTGTTGACAATGCTTATTTCTTATAACTTCACTAATCTTAAGCAAGAATATCTTACCCTACATGTCTTGGCAAAAGTTATCAAATTATTTTATGTTTTCTAGATTTGTTAACAATATTGTATTATTACACAACAGTATCTTACTTTGAAGATAACAACAGCTTATTCTATTTTTATACACGTTATTAATGATACTAATTTATTGCATAAATTCGCAAGTCTAAATCAACAGTATCTTATTCCAAATGTCTTGATTCAAATTAATAACTTACTTTTTATTTCATAAACTTTGTCTCCTTTCTGTTTGGTATATATCACTTGTTACATAGATTTCTTGTCTGATAATGAATAGACCACAGCAAGAATTGTAAACATCTTTAATGAACGTTTCGGAATTACACACATTCCATCTTCAGCAAGTCTATGAAAATAACAAATTGAACAATCTTTATAAAAATACAATAAATAGTGTTATAAAATTACAAAACATTACAAAAGGGGGAAGAAAGAGTTATTTGAATAAAGCATAGGGGAAGCGAGTTTGAATTCCTATTGAAGCTTGGATTTTCGTTCATAGTATGTAGACTTTCTTTTATCAACAGTTCGTGAACCTTACATTCATAACCTAGAACTCAAAAATCTTCTAAGAAGATGGGGTGCGATGACATTTCATCGTGAGGATATATAGGAGAGTGAGGTGGAGTTTGAAGTTTAAGTCCAGTTCTATTAGAAACTCCCATGTGTTACAAGGCGCGTATTTGTAAATGGCGAGAGTCTTTACAGCTACCACGTGTATATATATATGTGTGTGTGTGTGACCTTTGAACGTAAGAGTGAAGGTAAAATGTCTTTAGTTCTAAAAAAGCTAATGATACAAAGTAATGATTTGAAGACAATACGGAGTTTAGTCTGGGGGTAGAATGATCCCAGTAGTTTGTAGAGTTGGATTTTAACAATAAGACTTTATTTTCCAAGGTAAGGAATAACAAGTGTTAGAGGGAATTTGGAACATGTTTGGATATTATTCAGTGGAGTTCTTGTCTTAGTAAGAAAGTTACGTGTTAAGTTTTCTAGTAAGGATGAGGATACCCATTTGTCCTTAAGGTGTTCTGAAAGAAATTAGTTTCCTTATGAATAGAGATGAAATCTGAGCAGATCGAGTAGGCCCTATGAAGAAGAGACAATAATTATAAGATATTTAAACGCCACCCACACACAGAGAGATTCCTTTAACAGTCGAGGAAATTCACTATTATAAAATAATAATATGCACGTAATCAACACGAACACACCAACAAGATAAAACTCAGCGAATGACACATACGAAGTTTTAGATTTCATTATTCTACCAAACTCATTAATTCCAAAATCTACAGACTTTAAAGTTTACCCTGAAATTTCTAGCAATCACTTTCCTATTTCAAATACACTTCAATCAAACATACCACATCCAATACCAGACTTCCCGCCAGCTCTTAACTACACAGACGCTAACGGGAAGGAGTTCAACACATTTGTTGATACTTTCCTTCCACCAATAACTATGATAGAAAATACAACGCAATTAGATAACTATATAGACCAACTTACACTAGCCATAACGAAAGCAACTAAAAAAGGTAATCCCCACATCCTCTAGAGGCAATCATTGGAAACTCACACCAAAAATACATTCACTTATCTTAGAACGTAGACGCCTTAAGCAATTACTGATAAACGCAGGGGATACTTCCCTAAAACCTGAAATTAATAAAATACATGCACAAGTAAAACGAAACATAAAATTACTTAGAGAAACTAACTGGTTAGAATTTTGCAATAGCCTTGATAATGTTCATGATAATCCGAAAACCTTTTGGATAAAAATTTAAATCACTAACTTCCAAGAAAACAATAATAACATGTCCCATCACATCGAATACAACAACATTACTGCTAAAAGAGACTCCGAGAATCTTTTAGCGGATTACTATCAAGAGTCCTTTCAGGACCTAAATTCCCCAAGCTTTAACCAGAACAACCACAATACAGTTGATAACCATGTAAATAAACATCCAGATTCATATAATCCAAAGTTTCCAGTCAATAACTTAAACACCGATACACTTGTCGGCAGTGACGACATTCTCAATCAAAAAGTCTCCAGAGGTAAATTAAAGATTAATATAAAAACACTAAAAGAATCAGTTCCCGGCCATGATATCGAAAATATAATTCTTAAGAAAGCATCAGATAATATATTTAATAATTTAATTAATTTCATAAATCTATCATTACTAACATACTCCTTTTGGTGTATCTGGAAAATAGCAGTTATCACAGTTATCCTTAAAACTCAGCAGCCGATAGCTCTAATCCTGACAACTTCAGACCAGTTAGTTTGCTTAGGTATTTAGGTAAACTAGTTAAAAGAATTGTAGCGAAAAGACTCTTGAACTTTTGTGAAAAAAACAACCTTCTTTCAAACATACAAAACTCTTCTCGCAAAAACAGACAGACCATAGACCATTTAACACGACTCACAGAATCAGTTTTTAAATCATTCAACAATAATCAAACCACTGTATGAGTTTTTCTTGATGTTTCGAAAGCTTTTCATTGTGTGTGGCATAATGCTATTAGATATAGATTTCATCCAATGAACATCAATAGTGCTATAATTAGATGGATATCAAACTTTTTAACTAACCGCACTGCAGTTCTTAGAATAAATAATATATTGTCAAAAAACAATAAACATTACAGCAGGAGTCCCACGGGGATCAGTTCTCTCGCCACTCTTTTACATTATCTTTGTAAATATCATATTTTCCCCAAACTTCACATATTCATACTTTTCCCAAACTTCACATATTCATATTTTCCCCAAACTTCACATATTCATACTTTTCCCAAACTTCACATATTCATATTTTCCCCAAACTTCACATATTCATACTTTTCCCAAACCTCACATACTCATACTTTTCCCAAACTTCACATATTCATACTTTTCCCAAACCTCACATATTCATACTTTTCCCAAACCTCACATATTCATACTTTTCCCAAACTTCACATATTCATACTTTTCCCAAACCTCACATACTCATACTTTTCCCAAACCTCACATATTCATACTTTTCTCAAACCTCACATATTCATACTTTCCCAAATCTCACATATTCATACTTTTCTCAAACCTCACATATTCATACTTTTCTCAAACCTCACATATTCATATTTTCCCCAAACCTCACATATTCATATTTTTCCCAATAAGCTGATGACATTGCTGTTTGACGTGTGTCAAGAAATCTATTGATAGCAGCAGACCGTGTTCAAAAATCACTTAACACAATTAATGATTGGTGGGTTATGCTGAATTACATTAAAACTCAAGGTATAATATTCCAAAGAAGCTTAGATAAACATTTCAAAAACTCTAAGAAAGCAAAATTAGAATTAGGTAATGTAGAAATTAAATTATGTCCTAAAGCCAAATTTCTTGGTATTACTTTTGACAAAAGACTCACATGGGCAGAACATGTGAAGAAAGCACACGAAATCATTAGTAAACGTATTAACTACCTCAGATTTATAGCTGTTAAAAATAAATATTTAAAGGTAACACTGTCTTAAAAATCTACAAAATATATATCCGACCCATTAATGAATGAAGCTGTTAAGTTACTATAAACATGTCAGTCAACACACTCAAGAAACTACAATGGCAACAGAATAGAGTATTAAGATTCGCCCTAAGCCTTCAAAGTTACACCCCCGTTAGATATTTACACAAAGTAAATTACAACTACTTAAAGACAGGCTAAATACATTGGCTAAAAATTGTTATTAAAAAGCAGAAACAAAAATCCATTAACTTATGCCCTTCACACCATTACATGTGCACCACACATAACAGTATTCCTGTACAATATGTACAGCAGCCAAACATAAAATATGCACACACCATGAGCTTCGTTTAAGTTTATATGACTAATCTCGTGTTTTTGCCTTACAGCTTGAGCACAGGACAGGAAGACTATTCGGCTCCTATCCTATACAAGTGAGTTTTCTCGTTCCCCGCGCAGCAAATTCCACGGCATTGGATTTATAGTTATCAATGTTTATCGATGGTGGTCGAAATCCGGGATGCCAGCCTCGACCTTCACCACGCCGTATTTGCCTTCACTTCGCCATCTCTACCTTCAAAGGCTCTCGGAGAAATTTTAAATCAAGACTAATATCTTAATATAATTATCAAAAGGCCACTTTAGTCAAAAGTAATCCTCACGAGCGGTGCGAAGGAGGATACTAATATCCTAGAACACTCCAGATGAGGAAAGTTTCTTTCCTTTTAAAACTAAACACCTGCCACGAATAATAACAATTACACACACTGGCCTGAAAACGGAAGACCTTCGAAACGTCGTCCTCTACACTTGTATTTCCTACAACAGGTAGTTGCCGTCCGTTTTAATATCCTCATCACAATACTCTGCCTAAATAACCTATCAAAGAATACATATTGCTTAACTATTTTCAACCGTTTTACATCTTTATAGTGCTAGTCAAAACTATATATTACTTAACTATTTTCAACCGTTTTACATCTTTATAGTGCTAGTCAAAACTACATATTACTTAACTATTTTCAACCGTTTTACATCTTTATAATGCTAGTCGAAACTACATATTACTTAACTATTTTCAACCGTTTTACATCTTTATAATGCTAGTCAAAAACTATATTACTTAACTATTTTCGACCGTTTTACATCTTTATAATGCTAGTCGAAACTACATATTACTTAACTATTTTCAACCGTTTTACATCTTTATAATGCTAGTCAAAA